CTTCATAAACTTTATACACATTTCTGTCCCCAAAATTTTCTCCAAGTAACTTGTGTAACTTTGACTTTCTAAAAACTGATTTCGTCTATTTGAGCATAATTATATCTTTGACTGTCTCAATAATCTCCTTTCATCAACCTTGAGTTCGCGGACCAGCTAGTTCCGAAAACGCCTTTTTCTAATTTATTGGTGTCGCCATATAACACAACAAACGTATTTCAACAAAATATTGACACCTTCCTCTTCTTCAACAGTAGCCCATCTGTTCAGTTTTGGTTCAGACTGGAACGTTTGAGAAAATTAGACCTCCTCGAACTATGAGCTAGAGCTGTTTCACATCAATTGAAGAGAAGAAGGCGAAAAGTCGAAGATGGAAAGATTTATAAACTGTTTTCATACTTACTCAATAATTTAATCTTCAGTTTTTTCTTAAAAGAGGAGAGGGATTGAGAGTTGATGATCTTGTTGTCAAGTGAATTAAAAAACTTAGGCCCTTGAAAAAAGGGCGAGAACTTCTTCGTGTTTGTACGACAATACGGTAGACGGTAGGCCTGGGAATTTCTTGTATTGTAAGAGTGGAATTGATTGCTTTGAGCGAAATTGTTATTAAACTTTGGAGGTAAGAATGAATTTTTGCAAGAATACATAAATTGGCCCAGTTGAAGCAAATGGATATCATTAAATTTTAGTATACCGAGGTCCTTAAAGATTTGGTCAGTATGAGCATTAAAATGTGATTTATTAATAATTCTAATAATGCGCTTTTGCAGGATAACAAGGCGGCGGAGATTAGTTTTATAGGTCGAAGCCCAAACGATATTGCAGTAGTAAAAATAAGGATAAATTAAGGAATAGTAGAGCAAACGTAAAGACGATTTAGGAAGAAAGAAGCTGCATCTAGATATTATACCGATTGACTTCGCAACTTTACTTGCAACGTAAGATATTTCCGACTTCCAATTTAGGCCTTACACAACAAGTTAGTAAAACAGAGAAGAATTCAGATTACTATCAGTCTTCTTGATCATCTGCAATCTACCAATGGAAAGGATAAAGATCTTGTTCTGTGTGTTGTACCTCACCCTAATTCCTTCCATATAGCCAACTCTACCCTTCTCTTAGCCATGGAAAACAGAGCATACAACTGCATGTACAGAAACATAATATGCAATCGCTTAGAAGAATATACAATTTTATAGTATTTTCTTCAAGGTAATTGTAATGAAATCTTACGAGGTACTGTAGTACTGTTGAAAAAAAAAATTGATTACAGCGTCTACTTACCGTTAAACAGCGTTAAAACAAGAAGAGTTCGACGGAAGCTTGTCTATTTATGGTTGCACACTTTTCAAGGCGTAAATTCATTTTGCCGTGCTGTCTTTCTCTTCTTTCTCGTCTGTAGAACAGAACCCTGTCTAAGGAGGCACGTTGGGTGGAGCAGTACAGAGATGAGATTGACGCACTGAAGTCAAAGGTATGAGGCTTGCCCCTAGGACAGATACAGCTATAGACCTTTGTCATGCGGCGGCCATTTTGTCCCAGGAGATTAAAAAAAGCTTTGTTTTTGAACGGCTAGCCTCGTTCATATTCCGAGGCTAGCCGTGCAAATACACAATATGGGATATGATCAATACACTGTTTGTAACGACTATAGCTGTCGAACCTACTTTACCCACGCAAAAACTACAAGCGAAACCCCACAACGTCAAAGAACGCAGATACGATAAGGGACCAATGAATCAAGAAAAAACGGCAATGAAAGCAAAACGCACAACAAAATAGACGTTAAGCAACGAAAACGAAAAACCTATATTCCTTGCGCTAACAACACCAGCTTCAGTTTATCGCCCATAGACTAAGCCAGATTATGAAGCTGTGTAGGAACTTTCAGCTAGGACTCGGGTCAGAACTCAGAACTCTTTACACGTTAACAAAAACAGACCTAACAAAACTTTAGAACTGATGTACTAGTTTAGGGCAATTTAGCGTATGACCTTGAAAACAACAAAACAGAAACAACAGACGAACGGGAAAAGAACTAATGGTTTGGTTAATCGATCAGATACAAACGCGCGTGGCTTTAATTGGGATGGTTAAGCGAACACTCGGGTGTTGGTAATTGATTAATATTATTATTAATTTTCTCTCCGTTTTTTTTTAAACTGGGGTGTGTAACAAACATTGTAACATCTAGTCAGGCATAAATCAATGACAATGAAATGCATCAAAAAAAATATACACAGGTCTTCTATGGTAACAAATTTTTGGTTTGGTTTTCAAGTAATATTAGATCGCCGAGCATAATGTAATAAAACGGTCCAAATCCTTCATTGACAGATTAGTCACAGACAATATTGACCTAGCTGTACAAGCCAGGCATCAATCATCAAGCCATCAAAACAAGTCCCTACACTGGACCCATTGTTTTGCAGTCAAGAATCGTCTTAAGCCTGATACAAGTCTAGTTGATTGTCAGCCACGGATGCAAGACAAAGACTTGCAGATGACCCAGATACTTTCAAGCCAAGAGGAACACGTTGCCATGCAGAACTGTGTAGGACCAACCAAGACTAGCTCTGCTAATAATAAACTGGGTGCCCAGTTTGCATGATGTTTTCATTACTTCTGTATGTTCATGCTCAAGTGTAATATTAAGTGACCCATTTCAATGTTGCAGATGCAGCTGCAAAAGAGCTAAAGAAACTGTTAATGTTAATGCTTAGATGCGTTGTGCAGGTTGGTATAAAATGATGATCGAATTTGCTACTTTATTAATACCACCCCTGCAATCCAGAAACTGTTCGCTTACGAACTGCTCACGAAACTGTGACATTTCCTTTCACTTTGCCTTGAGTGTTGTTTTCTACCTGCTGAAGAAAGAAAAGAACCCGAAAACGTTTTTCTCACTAATCTGGGAGTCTGGAAGCTAATGTGCTGGGGGTCCAGTTACATGGTTGGTTGTAATGTACCAGTACCACCTTCCGCCCACCCAGTCCCTTAAAGTTGGCTAGGTTCAGTTAGTGTCTCTTTCATTGTTGAGACCCTATTTTGACCTGGAGGTTTCATTATGGTAGTTAGTTTGTTCATTGTCAAGTTTGTAAGCTTTGTCATCGTATGCAATCTAGGGAGCTTTTTCCCTGTTTGTTGCTCTGTTGTTGCCTTTTTCCATCGAAGCTTTAAAATTTTCCTGGTACGCCACTTTTCCAGAACCCTCAGTTTTTTAAAATAGTTTTTTCTTCCTGAATTTGTGAGGCTAGCAACTAAAGGTAACACAATCCATGAGTAAATATACCGTGTTTACTAGATATAAGCACCACCAACAAATAAGCACCGTCTCTGAATAAGTGCTTCAGCCCCGATGAAATCAAAATCAAAGGACTTTAATCCTGTTAGTTAAATACGAAAAACATTATACTATAAATAACTGTAGTTAAAACCATTCTTTGTCGCCTCCAAATTTCAATTAAACACTGCCTTCAAATTAGCAGCACCCTTAACTAAGTGCCACCTACATGTAAATGTCAGTAAGCACCATGGCGCTTATTTGAGTAAATACTGTTGTGCCAGTTATTTTGATCGTTAATAATAGATTTAAGAAAGCTTACACTTTGGGTTGTGGTTGACAAAACTTTATTTTTTAGTGCGAGAAAAAGGAACACTTCATTAACAGAATTAAAGAAATGAATGTGGATGTCCAAGAATTATTAGCAAAGCACATTCAGGAGCTGCAATGTTGTTGCATTCCAAGACTTAGCTGAATGCACTAAAGAGTAAGTAAAATTAACAGTTGCTGATTGGACCAACTGACCTAGTAGGTTTAGTATCATGAAGATTGCAACTGCTGATTGTTTATATATTCACATTATTTCTTAATCCTTATTAAAGTTTGGGTCTTATGACTAAATCTGAAATGCATCCACTTAACTACGCAATTTCAGAAACCAAGTTAATTATTTGGTAGTTGATTAATGTTATTATTAATTTTCTCTCCGTTTTTTTTTAAACTGGGGTGTGCAATGAAAATTGCTGGAAACGGACTGCTTCAACTCAAGAAGAAAGAAGAAGTCCAGCTGGGGTTCATTTCCGTAACCAAATTTTTGTCTTTGGAGGACTTCGCAATAGTAATTCTAATGGATACTCTTCTGAAAAATATGACAAAGACATGAATATTTGGAGTGCGATTTCAAGCCCAGTGTTTGCTCCAGGGCATCCTCCTAGTGCTGTGTGCTTTAATGGGCAAATTTTTGTATTTGGTAAATTTCAATCAGACCAGAGTGATAGGCGAAATGCAGCCCTAAGAGTTTATGATGTCAACAGCAATGAATGGAAACCATGCCAAAATCTTTCATTTGATATCACATCATTCAAAATTTCTGCTGGAAAAATTTTAAAAGAAGTGCTGGAATTTTGTAAGAAGATTCCAGAGCCATGAGAATTATAAGGGGGGAGTAAGAATACTCCTGGGCATGCTTCATGCTACGGAAACCGGTATAAGTTCCGGCCGTTTGGGCCCTTGGCTTGTTGCGCCTTTACCTTTTTTCAATTTCAGTCAAAGCAGATCAAACGTTCCCGGCGCTAACGAACTAATGAATTCATTAATGGCAAATGATTTTGTTTGTTGATTCAATAATCCATTCATAAAATGAACAATCCAATATTCATATTCAGCCTCGATTCGATAATCGAATGTTGATTCGATTACTGTTTTTTCAAAAACTACACTTTCCACAAGTCGACCTCAAAAATGTACGCTACTTTGCTGCCAATAATCAGTGCAACAGACCTGGCTTCTTAGGGCCTCTTCACTTGAGCCCGGTTGACCCGGATGAATTTCGCCTTGGGTTCATTGTAACATCTAGTCAGGCATAAATCAATGACAATGAAATGCGTCAAAAAAAATATACACAGGTCTTCTATGGTAACAAATTTTTGGTTTGGTTTGCAAGTAATATTAGATCGCCGAGCATAATGTAATATAACGGTCCAAATCCTTCATTGACAGATTAGTCACAGACAATATTGACCTAGCTGTGCAAGCCAGGCATCAATCATCAAGCCATCAAAACAAGTCCCTACACTGGACCCATTGTTTTGCAGTCAAGAATCGTGTTAAGCCTGATACAAGTCTAGTTGATTGTCAGCCACAGATGCAACAGAAAGACTTGCAGATGATCCACATACTTCCAAGCCAAGAGGAGCACGTTGCCATGCAATCATGTATGGTAACACTTGTCTTTCAAGTAATTTGTAAATACTTTCAAGTGTGTAGAGGGGCTTAAATCAGCAGTAATCCACCACATCCCACATAAGTATTTAAATGAAATGAAGCAGAAGTCAAAACAAATAAGTAACCCTTTTAAAGTGGTAGTCCATTTTACAGTTACGGGGTGCAAACGGGTTGACCTTGTTTTGATACAACGGTTCCTGATTTATTATGTTCTTATGCTCACTTTTGTTTTTTAGCATCAAAAGAGGTTTGTATCAACAAGGTCTACCTCAGCCTCACATCCGCTCAGAGGCTAGGGTACTAAGCTCATAACTCATGGTCGATTCAATTTGCTTTATGCATTAAAGAAATGTATTGCTTTTGCAAAGCTACTTTGTCTTGCTTAAACTAGAACACATTTCCCTGCCTTGTTATTGTGTCCATTTGTGTTTGCTAATTTTTTTTTTAAAATTATGTCTTTAAGGCCGTCTTGTATGTGTAATCAAAGGAATTTTTACTTTTTAATTATCCTTTTCTAACACTTGTTAACTCAACCCGTCCCTCTCTGGATTTTTATTTTGTTGCAGGCATCGATCTGACGATAAGTGGAAATGATATTTGTTATAGCCAGTTTCATTTGCTGTATGGTGTGCCCGGAAGGGATTAAACTTCCTTCGCATAAAGCATTGCAATGCCATTAAATATTATTATATCATCTCAGCTTACTAATTCCATCTTAGACAATACAAAGGAATATTGACAGCTTGAGTAGTCTATGTTTTAACCCAAACAAGCACTTGTTATGATAAATCATTTGCACTACAGCCTTGTAAGGTCTGATGAGAAGACTGGATTAACAGTCTTAATTTTTCCAATTTTTAGTGCCTCCTAGGGTTGGATTTTTTGAACACAAATAAGTCTGGTGACATGGCAGAGTTGTTGAAAAAGTTTCAAGAAGAACATGTTCCAATGAAGGAAGATCATGTGTTGCACAAAACTATTGTTCATGGAGACCAGCTAACTGAGGAGAGGGAAAGAAATGTCCAGTGGACATTCAAGCTTGGAGAGACCGAAGCTGATTGGCTTGAGGGGCTTGAGTGCACATTTTCAGAATTCCACCTAAAAATGTGCATGTATCAGGTAACTGACCTTTTTGAATTGGCTCATTATAGTTCAAATATTACGTAACCTTAGTTTTTGCCAGTCTTGAATTGAATTTGTTGATCACTACCATAATACCGTCAGTTGCATCTAAGTGTGTACATGTGAGGAAAAAACAGGTTCTAACTGGATGCAAACATGACTTGTTTGCTGCCAAACATTCAAAGTTTGGAGTAGGCCACTGTTGTCGACTTGATTTGTTTTCTCAAGTGTGCTGTTTCTGAGTAAGAAATATGCCTAAAGGTTGAGGAAAATGAAATATGAACAGAATGCGCTGATAAAAAAAACATATAAACAACTTATAACCTTTGGTGCGACAGTCGAACTTCAAATGTGTAGTGGCAAAACACTTCATGTCTTTCACTCCATTAGAACATGTTTTTTTGTCTTGTGTCCGATGGTACTTAAAGCATAAGACATTACATTTTGGAAGTCTCCATCAGGGATCGGCAATGCACATTAGTTCAAACATTGATAGATACTGACTAGTACTATCACGTGCACAAAAAAAATTGCTTGGGCTGATGTTACCTCTGATGGTTGGGTTTGACAAATTGAACAGTAATTCACTCATATTTAACTTATATGACTATTTTTCTGTTATATTAAAGGTGAGCAACAAAATTTTTGTAAAGGAAGAATCAGCAGGTGAAAAGGGGACTTCATTTGCTCAAATGAACCGAAGTGAAAATTCCAATGCAAAGAAAGTGCCCACAAAGGATTTCAATGCATGTTTTGTTGCGTAGACTTCACACTTCATTTGGAATTTCTGGAGCACCATTAGATTGGTTTAAGTCGTATTTGTCACCAAGAAGTCAACGTGTTTCCATTCCCGGCACCCTCTCTGACAGTCTTCCTTTTAACTAGGGCGTTCCACAAGGGTCCTGTCTTGGTCTCTTGTCGTATATCATCTACTCTTCAAAGCTATTTAACATCATTGAACGTCACCTTCCAAATTCTCACTGTTATGTGGATGATTCACAAATATATTTGTCCTTCAAGCCCGATGACTTGTCCAGTCAACAAAATGCTATAACTGCCATGCAAAATTGCATTGACGACATTCGCTCATGGATGGAACACGACAAACTCCTTCTCAACGATTGAAAAGACGGAATTTCTCGTCATTGGCACCCAGCAACAGTTATCTAAAGTTAATATTTCTTCGATCACCGTGGGAAACTCTGCTATAATGAAATCGCCAGTTGTTAGGAACCTTGGCTTGACATTGATGACAAGCTGTCAATGAACTCCTACATCAGCAAAGTCTGTAAGGCATCATTTTACTACCTCCACAACATTAGGCGGATGAGAGCCTTTGATTCAGGCGTTTGTCTCCAGCCGATTAGATTACTGTAACAGTTTACTCTATGGATTGTCACAGGTACAAATTGATAAGATTCAAAGAGTCTCAAAACGCAGCTGCAAGGCTTATTTTTGAGCATCCTAAGTTTTGCCATATAACACCAGTCTTATCTCAGCTTCACTGGCTTCCCATAAAGTACCACATTGAGTTTAAGATTTGAGTGATGACTTTTAAAGCTATTCACGACATGGCACCAGATTATCTTTGCAAATTGATCCGCCAAAGGAAATCAACCGGATATTCCCTCAGATCCAGCAAAAACGTTATGCTTGAGGTTCCAAGCGGCAAGATACTCCCAACAGTTGGTGGTAGAGCATTCTGTTATGCAGCCCCAAAGCTCTGGAACAACCTACCTAGCGAAATATCCAGCCTTGACTCTCTCGTCAAATTTTAAACGCCATGTGAAAACATATCTTTTTAAACAAGCTTTTAATTTGTAGTAGTGTATTTGTTTCGTATATTTTATTATTTATCACTTATTGTTATTTTATTTTATTTTGAATTCTTTCTACTTGCTTGTAAATTTTATTCATCTTTAGTCTTTCTTTTTAACTTATTGTAAAGCGCATTTGATCATATATGTCCCATGGAAAGTTGCGCTATATAAATTTTAATCATTATTTTAATTATTATAAAGACTTTCATGAGTCTAAAACATTTGCCAGCATTCTTGCCGCTTGGATGGAATTCACAGGAATGGATAGTATTGACAGTGAGTTTACTACTTTACACTGTCTATTTTAACACCAATTATTGCTTGTAAGAACACTCCTTAACTATAGTAAAATATTTTTAAAAATGAAAGACAGGAATTAATATCAAAGTGTACTTGGAAATTATTTTTCTGCTCTGAATGCTTTTTTCTCAAGGTCTACCAACCACTCGCCAGCTTCCAGACAGAGCAGTTTTAAAGAAATGGGGAAATGAGCAGAAGCGTGACTGGTTGTCAAAGGAAGTTGTCGAATTTCTTAATGTGTATGTATTCATACAGACATCATGTGACGTGAATGAGTTTGTCGCAGCTGTTGATGAGTTAGACACCCAAGGAAGAAATGGTTACCCGTTCCGAGAGTGTGGAGAGGTTTTCAACAACCATCCAGCAAGGGTAGAGTAAGTATACCATAGATGCCTTGAATATAATTTTCCCTGGTACATCTTTGTCTCTTAATGAAGTACTAGATGGGGTTGAGATATGGACGACAGTTCTCAGTAATTGATGTATTAACTAGTACATATAAATTATGTGTATATGATTGTTAAGAGAGTGCTTCATCACTGCCAGGCTTAAGCCTGGAAAGAAATGAAAAAAAATGATCAATTTTATGTAATTTTTTTTGTGCCAGTAATGGTCCCTACGCACTTTAGCTTAATTAAATCAGCATCCAATTTTACACACCATAAATGGCAGATCACCATACACCTATAGCACTGATTCAAGCAATAACAACAATTTTTTTCCCTGAAATTAAAAAAGGCATTTTCTGTGTTCTTCCTTAAAACTGCTAATCTGTTTGCCTGGAAGTTGCTGAATACTCTTTGTGTCATTTATTTTTCTTTCTGTGCTATTAGTCATGAAAGAACGCAGCATGGAAAGGTACCAAACACCTTTGAAGATAGAGATGAGTTTGGTTATTACATTTGCCGTATCCGTTGTGGAAAAACGTACAAGACCAAACAAGGAAGTAACCAGTATGCAGAACGTATTCTATATCTATGTTGCGGTTAAATTTTATAATTGGTTCAAATGTTATTTTTCTTTGTTTTAAACTCATTATCATACATTTCCATATCCCCAAACAAAAAATTGAACGACAACATATACAAGTAATAGATAGCAGTCATCTGAGACAAAGAAATTGTCTTTGATTTTATAAATTGTTTTATCAAGTGGCTATAAACAAGTCTTTCTTGAAAGTTGTCTTCAGATACTTTAACTTTCCAAGAATATTAATGAGAACTTTAAATTTGTTATGTACAAAAAAGAGCAACTATTATAAGACCAGTATTCTACCTTTTCAGGCATGAGAGAAGCCAACATGCAGATCAAATGAATGAAACGCCACACCAAACAGACAATGGGGCTGACCAAGAAGCACAAGATCACTCTGAGGAGTGTGTTCACAATTACCACAGTGCAAGATTGACATTTGGTCTACTTATGATGGTTTTCAATGATTCAGTAAAAGAAGGTGACTCGGCAAGCCTGTTGAAGTTCCTGAAAGTAGCTCTTCTCTTTCTTCACACACATAATAGAGTCAAGTATGCATATGTTGTTCTTTTGTTCCTGGCCAAAGTATATGCCATATTAAGTGAAAAGCTAGCATTTGAGGTGTTACATAACCGTGCTTTCAACAACTCTAGAAAAGCAGGTGGAAATTTTCCCTTAGATCTCAGGATGGAACACTTAAATAAGCTGCTTAAACTAACATTGAAACAGCTGGCATCAAACATTTCTGAACCAGCTACGCAGCGGATTGCCAAATCTCTGTCCACTTTAGAGGACATTTTGTGCATGGCAGACATTGATTGCAATCTGAAAGCAAGAAGTGGATTTCACAGCTCAAAACACTTGGATGAAACAGTGATCACCATCACAAAAGATTTGCATGACATCAAGGCATTCAGTGTTCAGCCAGGAAGGGAGTACAAGTCATTCAAGGGGTTCAAGCGAAACCTTCTTCACAAATTAGATTATAGAGAATTTTATAGCTGGGTCTCAAAACCTTTTGCAGTATGGCAATCTATGTATTACTAGATGTATCAGATTGTGGTAACACTTTCGACCAATTTTTTTTATAGAAATTCACGTGGTGTGTACAAAAAGACACAATAAGAAATGTCATGTTCTAAGTACAGTCAAACTCCATTATTACGGGCACTGGGGACCAAAAGAAAGTGAATGGGGTGTCCATGTTAAGTGGGTTAAAATTAGAGAGAATGTACGTAGGGGCTTTCTTTTACCAGGGACAAAAGGCAACTTTCTGTAATAATAAGATGTCAGTTAAGCGAGGTTTGATTGTATATGAAATTCTTATTTTCATACCAGTACCTTATTTAATAAACAAATATAGGTTATGTTTTTTAGCAAGCAAGCGATAATTGCTATAATTATTTAGTTTAAGAGCATTACTAACATAAGGTGTTAAACCGGCTAGGTATTGTCAAAACAGAAACAGAGACACTGTAATGTTAGAACATTTTTCTACCAATAACTGTGTAAGTGAGATAGTCGTTGCATGTAGAGTTTCAAAAATTTGCTGAATGAAGTTATTAAAAACCTAACCCATATTTATAAGACCCCAGTGTCGGCATATGTCCTTAATGTTATAGCCACTTATCTTGTTACAGTAATAGCTGTTGGTCAGGATGACTATGTCAAATGATGAAACCCAGAAAATTATATATATATTTCATTTTTTTTTTTCACTTTGTATTATTTAATTTTCTTGTCAGGGTGTAATGTGATACTTATCAATGCTTCTGCCTAGAGGTGTACAATGAAATTTAACTTGCCTTTTCATGTTACTTTTTCGGGGCTTTCAGACCATATATAAAACATTGTTTTTTCTCTTCATTATTTTGATTCTTCTTGAGTTAAAGTAATTTTTAAAATATTGTTCCACCCTCTCCACGGGCTGACTGTCAAAGAGAGGTGCTAAGTGACCCTCACACAGAATAATGATGTATACTATTCTATAAGTCCATGGGTTTTGTTTTATTCAAAGGAAAAACATTATTGCATACAATACTTCTGTATTCGATGTACATTGTGATTAGGGGAAAAACAAGATTCTCATTAACCCAGCAAAAACATGAACATAAATAAAATTAAATGAAAACATTTTAAATAAAATAATGTTAATTCCCTTAAGTGGACACTTGTTTTAATTAGGTGAATCAACTGCTCATCAATATCCCGCTATTAAACTAATAGCTGTTTCATCCAATGGTCAAATCCTCTTTCATTTCAGATTTGAAGTTAATCAGTTTTTTGTTGTTGTTTCTTTTATTTTTAACATGCAGTAAAACCGAACATAACAACTATTTGTCTTGACAAACCTCTTTTGTAGAGACTGTACTTTCTGCTCTTTGAATTTCAGCTCCTCAGATAATCTTTCATTTTCATCTGTTACCTTTTCCAGCCTTTTCAAAAACACAAATTGAAAGTTAGAAAACACAAGTTATCACATGTTGAATAGAAAAAATAACTCTTCCTTGTGCCACCAAAAACAAAAACATCTTACCCGTTCTTTAGCTCGTATAATTCTTTCTCCTTTTTCCTAAGATTTTCATCTGCTCTGTTCTTTTGTCTTATATTACAGTCTCTTCGACCCTGTGGGGTTTAGAGACAGTCATAAATTAAGCATCAAATTGAAATGGTATAAACTAATCGCATATCTTAACAACATAAACACTGGTTCCGAATTCATTACGGTCAACCCAAGTCAAGCGTACCCCCCAAGATTACTTTAATGAATTTATTATTCGAAAGTTGAATCCGTTGGTAGTTGTAGATTTCAGATTCATGTCTGCATTCTTGCATGCGTAATGAGCCGTCAATTCAAACGCGATTCAGTTACGAAATTTCTACCAGCTAAGTTTCCCTGAATTTGACGTAAATATCTTCTATGAAATTTAACCCATTTAAAGATTTTAAATCTGACCAAATACAGAGAAGTTCTCGTAAAATATTCACTGCGAAGTACGCATGCAGGAATGCCGATTTGAATTTAACGCTCGTTACCGGAACAACTAACGGATTCATTTTTCAAATAATCAATTCATTAATAGAATCTTACGGGGTACGCTTGACCTGCTTCGACTGTAATTTTGAAGGTCATAGTTTTTATTAAGCGGCACACGTTAAGTTTGTTATACTGGAGCTTACTTGCTTACTTACTTGCCTGTGAATTTTTGCAGTACACAACAGGGACGAGTGTAGATAATTGTTGTGGGTCGTGGGTAGAGGTCGTAGGTCGTGGGTGTGGGTCGTAGGTGTGGGTAAATGTCGTGGGTAAAAAGAAGGTTTTCCAAAAAAAATAAAAATTAAAAAATTAAAGGGCAAAAAGTTGTAAAATTCATGAAACGAAAATCTCCGCGTACATGTCAGTCCTACTCCAGTCCCCGCGGTCAGCAAACCAAATAATATAATAATAATAATAATTAAGTAATGATCCGGGTGAGGTGGATAGCAGTTTCTTTTGTTATGCGGCAACGGTGCTTTCCCCACATAGGAATGTTCTCATTTTTACACAGAGAATGCATAAACCTACATGAAGGCCGTTTACCCAATAAAATGCATTTACACTCTACTTTGAAAGGGTGTTTTTTGTGTGTTAAAAGATTTTGACCAATCACAAGAGTTGAAAATAACAGCCAAGAAATGTTTACAATTTTATATGTTCCCCACATAGCATTTCTTTGTTATTCAAACTGAGACCAGATTTTGTTATATGGAAGATGGTTGGAAAGTAAGGATGAATATATTTACTGCTTTATGAAGTGTTGTTAACTTTTGCTGTTTAAGCCAATCAGAAGTACGTACAGACAAAAGAAAAGTTAGCACCTTTTTTTGCATTCCAACATGTTCGTTGCCGTTGTTGCTATCGTTCTTATCTGGACCGTTTCTTAAAAATTTATAACGCGCCTTTTCCATGCAAATATGATCAAAAGCGTGTGACAATACGTAAATGTTAAAAGAAAACAAAAGCTAAAATGAGGATAATAATTAAGGCTAAGCATAAACAACGCTAAAAATTAAATAAAGATAAAAAACACTAAATATATTACATACTAAGTAGGTTAAAAAAAATTACGTATCAAAAACTAGTCTAAAAAGATGCGTTTTAAGTACAGATTTAAAACGTTCAAAAGCGAAAAGCGAAAAGCGAATCCTTTAGTGCAAACTACAATAAAAGAAACTCTGTACACTATGTAAACCCGAAGCAGGCAATAGAAAACTGGAGACTGAACTGCTTTTTCTCAAAAAAGTCAACATTCGTGAATGAAACGTCCTTTCAGTTAAAGGAATGATATTTAGCATCGTTACAGCAAATATTTTGTACGTAAAACCAAAAAAATCGACAAAAATATATTTACGTTAGGCAACAAAATTTACATTGACATGTACTTGTAATCCACAAATCGGTCAACTGGGGAGATCCATATGACGTTTAAGGGTGGGGCTGGGTGAGTTGAGGCAAAAAGTAAATTGCTGACAGTGCAAGAATGAAGCAACATCTAAAATCTTAAATCGAGTTAATAGTCTTATTTGTACAGCTAATAAATAGAAATCACCTTTGGCCACAGTAGATTACTAGGCGTGGAAAACAAATTCTTCCCAAGCAAAATAACTTTTGTGCCCACCTATACCACCTTTATTTTATAATTTTATGCTATAAACACCGTAAAGACACGATAGTCCCCGGTGACAGCCAATTTACTCGTTATAACTTATCGGTGTTATCTCTCTGTCTAAGGGAAAGGCCAAAATGAAAAATCAGGCCTGATGTTTTTGGGGTGGCTCGCTACAAGTCTGTTATGCTTAATACGAACAAAACAATCTAATCTGGTTTTGCTGGCACATCCCCAAGCAAGAATACCGTAACTCAAATAGGGATATATTAAAGCATAATAAATTTGTTTCAGTATATTCAGATCTATGTAATATCTTTGTTTTGAAAAGATTCCTAAATTTTTAGCTAATTTATTATTTACATGTTGTGTCTGTGGTTGCCAATTGAGATGTTTATCTGTACAAACTCCCAAGTACTTTATGTAATCTTTCTGTTCAATACCCGTGATATTCATCTTTGAGTGGCATCTAGATGATGAGACTAACATACAGTTGGTCTTTGCAGTGGTGAGATAACTTATTTAGAGCACGGTAGTTATAAATTTGTTTAAGCTGTCGATTCATTACGGATTCAAGCTGTTTTAAGTTGTCGCTAGAGTAAAATAAATTGGTGTCATCAGCAAAGCTCCACAGCGAAAGTATGTCGACACAGTTTAGTAAGTCGTTCACATAGAGCAAAAATAAAAGAGCACCTAGAGTCGAGCCTTGGGGTATACCGCAGGTAATATTTTCAAAACTAGATTTAGTAGAGTCAATTTTAACATATTGTCTTCGGTTGTGCAAATAACTTTCAAACCAAATTATGTAGTGTACCCCGAATTCCATATAGATGTAGTTTAGAGAGCAGTATTTTATGATTTACGGTGTCAACCGCCTTTGATGGGTCGAGAAATAAACCACATGTTATTTGACCTTTATCAGTAGCTAGCCTCAGATTGTCAGTAATTTCAAGAATAGCTTGTTCAGTGGAATATCCTTTCCTAAATCCAAACTGATATTTGTACAAGATTTGGTGTTTATCAATGAACGAATACAGTTGATTATAGACTAGACGCTCGAGCACTTTACTAAAAGGTGAGGGGGTTGCTATGGGCCGATAGTTGCTAGGGTCTGTAGCATCACTACCCTTCTACACTGAGGAAATTTGTGAGACTTTTAAAATATCAGGAACAATTCCAGTTTCAATAGACTGGTTATAGATATATGTCAAGGGTATTGACAATGGCTGGGCAGCTATTTTGATTAATTTATTAGGAATATCTAAGGATGACTTATGATCATTTAAACATTTAAATAGTGAAAATACTTGGGTTTCAGTGACACGGGACATAACAAAGCTAGCTACTGGAGTCGATCTTATGAATTGGGTCGGACTTCCATCACAATTTTCAATTCTTTTG